GGAATGTTTAATTTATTTCGTATTATTATTAAAACAGCGAATCTACTACAATTGTGTGGTGATTGCGTGACGAGTAGTCTACGTTTTCGAGGCCTCTTTTTTCTGAAGTCTGTGCTTCAATTTGAATAACATTATAGCGACTATTTCTTCGGGAATAAAGTCGTCGGCAAATGCCATCAAAATGCCGGCTGCTATTTCAAACCCTACTACCTTTTCACTGTTTGATCGACACTACAGCGATAAACCGGTGAAGATGTAGTAGGGGTAGGTAAGCCAGGTAACTTAATAAAATTGGTAGCTAGGTCACTATTTGTGAAAAAAGGGAGACCAGTCAAAAAAGGATGGATTAATTAGCTGACCAAACAAAAGCAGTAGCAGTGTCATTATTACAAGACCTTGTGAGAACCGGGTTTAAAGAAGAAAACTAGACTTTCCAAAAATATTTTTTTCCATTTTATTCTTTTACCTTTACCAAACGTTACTAGACTGCCTGCAGTCTGGGTTTTCCCTTAGACGAGCGGTTTTCCTTGCGAACGCGAACGCAAGAAAAGAGGACTGGACTGGGGGAGGTTGACGGCCGAACCCTTGTTTCGTTCCTCAAACCCTCGCCCCCTACCTGGTGTTCCAAAGGAAAAACAATCTACACACAGTCTAACACGTTACCATAGTAATCAACTTCAGCCGCAGTAATTTCGATTGACCCTTGCTACGTAAGGCAACCTATATCTTGCGGTGTCTGACTGTAGGAAACATAGCTTGCAGCCATCCTTGATTAGTATTTTGCGATGATTTTTGTTTAGGTGCAAATGCTTCACTGTATCGAGCAAGCGTCCAGTGCAGGAGGCGCCAACCAGTTTGTGGATGGTTTTTACGTCGCGCAGCAGTTGAAAGAAAACGACCCAGAGACTTTTAATATTTTGACAACCACTCGATTTCAGTTCGTTGACTTTGGAAAGGACATGTTTGGTGAATTTAACAAGAAATTTTCTCGTCTCATGATAGAGTAAGTTGGGTGTAAATTGTTAAAGCCTAGATGAGCGCGCAACTTTTGAACTTTGCTTTGCAATTTCCAAATGTGTCTGTGAATTGTCAATCCGATTGACAGGAATTGTCAATCCAAATGCAAAGTTTGGAGCGGAATTCAGCTGCGAACTTCGATAAATACAAGCCTCATTAAAACTTCTAAGTATGTAGGAGTGATAAAGTAATGGTATACGAAAACACCTTTAGCACCACACCAACCTAAGCTAATGCTTTGAAGTCGAGGAAAATCTTTCGAAATATAGTAAGGCTGGTCATAAAAGATGCATACAGTAGTTGAAATATGAGGACAACTCGTGCCTTCTTCAGATCGAATGCAAGAACGCCGTTCACCAAATAATAGCACAGCCACATGTATGCATAGTCATATGTTCGCAGAGGATCCACAACTACTTTTACAATGTTATAACGAATTTCATGATCAATAACAGAAAGGACGCATGAAAAACGGACGTCAATTTGTTTATTGCACGGGTCAAAACGAGGTATCCGCTGACCAGTATTACGTGACCATATCGCGGGCTCAAGTTGACCACTGGTCAAGTCCTGTTTCTAAAATTGGATCGCGGACTCAGACCAGGTTAACCTACTGTAATCACGTCTGGATTGTTCGGAAGCCGGTTAACGCTAACGTTAACGCCCAGGATAATGTTTCGTGTAGTTTGAGAGGCCAAACAATATAAACGGAAAAACTTCACCGTAAAGCAGGCCGCAAAGTTAAAAAAAAAAAATCAAATCAAAATTCTCGCTTATCCTGGGTTAGCTTAATCAGGCTGTGAACAACCCGGCCAAGGAGCTCCGCTTTTAGGCTTGGCTAAATCTATATATTGTATGGCTATCTTTATCCTCAAGTGACAGGGTACTCTTTTTCCTAATTTTTTTCTAACAGGTTGGACGAGAATGAACAAGTTATCCGATTTGCTTTAAACAATCACGTGCGTGATTCCATCATGCTTACTTCACCAAAGAAAACCATTCAACTGTACGCGGGTTACCTCACCATTGGTAGAATGCTGAGAGACCCTGCCAATCAAATAGAACACAAAATGGTGCCCGGTGACGTAATTACGTTCAATAACAGCCGCGTGTTGCACGGAAGATCCGCGTTCAAAATCACAGAATCATCAAACCGACATCTTCAGGGATATTATATGGACTGGGATGTTATCTATTCAAGGATGAGGGTTCTGGCTCAAAGATTTAATATTCCATTTGGTTTGTAAAGTCAGCGAGGCATTTTAAACAAACAGTTTACCGAGCTTGTGTGTGCTCGAAATTTGCATCAATGATGTGAAGTAACGTTTGATAAAACTGAAGAGTGATTGAAGCTCTCAGTCTATGATCGTCTTCTTTCTTAAATCTATGACATGTCATGGGATTTAGTTATGTACTCTGTCACCGCCGTAAATCTGCGGTGGTTCCGGTCTCCCTTTTTATTCGTTGTATTAGAATCTAGAGCGTAATTCAGGTAGCTCAGGGGAAGATGTCTGACCCCTGGTCGATTGAGTTTACCACCACACATGCGCACGCTAATAGTTTGCAGAACTTGCAGTAAAATCTTTAAAACAAACTCTTCAGAGAAACCAAAGCACTGCCTTTACGGCTCGCTCAGTGTTTGTCAATGATAAAGTGAGTTACCTTCGTCACGGTCAAGTGAAAACCATTCTGACTGGCAGCATTCACTGCATATATGGCGCGTTTGAGCCCCGATTTTCAATGCATGGGGATTCCTGTAAAATGTCACCACTGGGACTTGGAATAATTTGAGAAACAAAAATAAGGGTAGAAAATGAAAATTTGGCTGGGAAATGGCATTTATACCCCACACCTTGAGGACCATTCTGGAACGATCTACATGTAATGGTTTCGTTCTCACAGGACTGAGAAGCCTGTGCAGTAATTGAATCAAGGACGCTGTATAGAGTGGGGTGAACGATTAGCAACAGTCTTCTCAGTCACAAGAACGGGGTGGGGGAACCTCTATCCCGAGAGTAAGGAATCGGCCAGAGCTTGGCTATCAGGGTTGCAAGGCTATGGGAATGGTTCTCCGCGCTGCAGAGTACTATGTCGTATCAATAGATTGTCCTGCTCTCAGCCAAACAAGATCGAGTGCTTTTGTTGTAAGTAATATAAAGATAACAATGAAATCGACTGTTCATGATCAAAATATTGCAGCGCATTTTAATAGTTCTGGACAAGGAAACGCTAACTAAAGAAATGAAATCCCATAAACGGTTTAAAAGCTCTTTATCTAGTCATTGGCTAATAACCCCTTAAAATAAATAGATTAACTGGAAAATACACAGTTTGATGAAAAGCAAGGTTGGATTAAGTTTGAATTTAGAACTGTCAGAACGCGACAACTAATTTGCGAATACCTTGAAGAGTTTCTTTAATGAGTAAAAAGCGGATTTGCGTGAGAGGCTATTAACAAAGATTTGATTGGTGTAAAAAATCCACTTCCTAGCAGACGACCTAGAATAAAGAATAAAGAAGCAAATTACAAGTTGTATTTAGTTAAAGCATATTTTAAAACTTTATTGTTTGGTCGTTATTGAAAAACAATCTATAGAAAAGTTGTTTATAAGTCATTACAAATATTGATAAGTAAGAGATTATAAGAAGCGTTGTAATAGTAAAAGTGATTTGTGAAAACCAGGGATTGTTCTTGGCTATAAGGTTGCAAGCATTATAAACAGTTAAGCTTTAAGAGGCGACCACCACTTGAGTGTTTTTATAGCGCAATGCGTTTCTAATCGTTAAAAACGCTAAACATTTAGTACAGTGTGGTATATTGAACATAGACTTGTTTAACAGGGGTCAATTTAACTTTCTCTTCAACCCGGAAGTAAAAAGCATAAAGTTCACTTAGCTATTGTAAGCGATGTAAACCCAGGGGCGGATCCAGGAATTCCTGAAAGGGGGGAGGGGGCGTTGTACATCTTAATAACTTTCGGCGCCATCGGCTTGGAGCTTCTAGTGGGGTCTAGATTTTGCCCTTTTCAACATCATTTCGAGCATTCCTGACACTTCAAAAACGTTAGAGAAGGCGTGACATAAAATCTAGAGTTTCCCGTTTATCAACTAGAAAACCATAAATATAATAATGGAGTCGCTAAACGTACGTTATCTTTTCCTAACTTGACAATCAGCTCTATTTGTGGAAGTGAAACAAACCACGTATAAAACTGTTTCATTCTATTATTTTTATGGTGAGTCAAACAAATAACAAAAACATGCAGCTTAAAGGGAAGGGGAGGGGGGTTGCAACCCGCTCAACCCCTCCCTTGGATACGCCTCTGAAACCATGTCTTTTGTTTATTACGTTTTACTTTATAGTTTAGTTTCTTCGCTATTTACTGCTTTGTAATCGTAAACCAGTTTTATATAATTGCATATTATCGCAAAATGGAGTAAATATTATTGCGCAGTGTTAAATCAACGCGATCAGAAAACCTAACCTAGTCATAGCACAGTCCCCATTTGCCACCCGTCTTGAAATCGTAAGTCGTGGAACACCACTTCTTCGCGTAGCCATCCATGGTACAGTCGTGATAGTGTTTGCCATTATAGACAAATGGAAATACGCAGCAATTTCCGGCAGAATTGCCGCCATGTGTGTCCACTCCGCTATCGCACTCCTCTAAGAAACAAAAAAGGAAATCAGTTGCAGTCAGTCACTGTAGTCAGCCAGCCAGCTAACCAGTTAGCCAGTCAGTCAGCGAGCTAGACAGCCAACTAGACACCAGCCAGTCAGTCAGGCAGTCATTCAGTCAGTCACTACAGTCAGTCAGTCAGTCAGTCAGTCAGGCAATCATTTAGTCAGTTACTGCAGTCAGTCAGTTAAGCAGTCAGGCAGGCAGGCAGGCAGTCATTCAGTCAGCCAACCAGTTAGCCAGTCAACCAGTCAGCCAGTCATTCATTCATTCAGTCAGTCAGTCAGTCAGTCAGTCA